AATTCCACGTCCAAGATTCAGTTTCCACATTGGTAAAATGTGCACAATCATATTTCCCTCCTAGAGTTGCTGTCAGAGATAAAAAGGCACCTGTGCAGCAGTAGTGTGCTACCTGGCAAGATATGCACATCTTTCTTTCCCCTGCTGTTTATATACCCCGGCACTCAATTATTTTTAGGTGACTTTGAGCAGAAATGTGCGTCTATCTTCCCAGAACACAGTGGGTCTTGCAGTTTACTGCTCTGGTCTTCGGAGGAGGCTGCTCCTGACTGTCCTGCAGCTCATCACTGGCCAGGGCCGTGTGGAGCATTTGCAGGCTGGCCACTCCATCCTACGCACTGAACAGCAGCCAACATACTCTTAATTGCCTAACCTTTTTAAAAGATTAAAACAATGGTGACAAGAATGCATACAAAAAGAATCAGTTGCTCTTAACAGAATATTATCAATATTGGTCATTTTAAGATGGTTTGTTGTCAAATTTGGGGGGTCTTTTAACTTGGCAAAATCCTCTTGGAATGTGGGTGTCTGGTGTTAATAACAACAACCACCACTGACCCAGTCAGTCTGTGTTCTTGTCTCCTAACTAAAGCTCCTGGCCAGGCCTGAGCCTCCAGCCAGGGAGGCATCGAACTGCCTGGCATGGGTGTCGGTGCAGGGCTGCCATTTGCTCAAGGTTGGGCAGCTGGGAAAGGGCAGAGAGGGCTGTGACCCAAGTCCCCAGCCTTGGAACAGTGTGTTACTACCAGAAAATGTCGTACACTTTTTTTTCCTTTGAAAATTGATGCATGCATGGACATTAGAGAACATTGCTCAGTGTGCAATCGACAGCATGAATAAGGTTTTCCTGAGGAATAACAAGGCCATCCCTATAATGAGACAGTGACATTGTGACTGAATTCACCCCAGAGAGCAGTGGCTGGAGGCTGGGCAGCACCTTAGGCTGGGGAGCACCAGGTGGCACCTGCCACACGAGATAGCAGCAGGAAAGGATGGACATCCCTGGCCAAACGACCTTGACCTCACTGGTGACTGCAGTTCCTGGGACAGTTGCCCATGTACAAATGCCACCTGTGTTGTGGGTGTCCTGGCTCTGGGCAGCTGAGGCTGCTTGGGTGGCTTGGAGAGCAAAGCAGACAGGGTTAGGCTTCAGGATAGTACCTGGCATAACTGTGACTTCTTATGGGGAGACATTTGACTCAAGGTCAGACACATGGGTGTAGGCCATGCATAGCATGCAAAACAGGGCCCCTGGGGCCAGGGCTGGTGCAGTATAGTCTTCTTTTTGGCGGGGGGCACAGGATCTCACTTTATAGTTCAGGTGGGCCCTGAACTCATTATGTAGCCCAGGCTGGCCTCGAACTCATGTTGATCCTCCTGCCCCAGCCTCCCAAGCGCTGGAATTATAGGCATGTGCCACAGTGCCCAGCTTGTTGCAATATAGTTTTGAAACTGTCCCCAAACCACTGTGGCACTAGTGTCATGGGCAGTGTCAACCCACCTGGCAGGGCTTAAGTAGGAGAGGAAAAGGAGATTAGAAGTTCCAGACAGGCAGGGGCTGCCCGCGGGAGGGCTCTAGGCCCAGGCACAGATGCCACTTCCAGAAGAGAGAAGGGTGTGCACCACAGACTCTGGCCCTCAGGAGATGGGAAGCAGCTCTGATAGGATCTGGGGTGCAGTCATGGATTCTGGCCCAAAGTTTATTTAAAAATATTTTTTTAGGGGTTTTTGAGACAGGGTCTCACTATGTACCTCAGCCTGACCTTGAAGTCACTATATAGTCTAAGCTGGCCTCAAACTCATGGGAATCCTTCTGCCTCAGCCCCCAAGTGCTGGGACTACAGGTATGCACCAACCTGCTCTGCTCCTAAGGTTTATTTTGTCACAGTTTGTAGAGGTTTCAGTCCACAGTTGGCTGGCTCCAAAGCAGGGAGGCATGGGAGAGGAGAAACAGCTCAGGAGGCAGAAAGAGATCTAGGGAGGAGGGACGGAGACAGACCCTTCCAGGCCATGGCCCAGTGACCCACCTCTTCCCACCAAGCTTCCCCTCCCAACATCACATTTAGTTATGGACTTCTCAGTGGACTAATCCACACTCCCATGATCCAACCACCTCCCAAAGCTCCACTTATGAGCACGTAAGGCTTTGGGGGAACATCTAGTTCTAAACCATAACAGGATCTCAGTAGACACTTTTTTAAAAAAGACTTAAAGATGGACAAAGGTGTATGAAAAGGTGCTCCATGTTACTAACAATTGGGAAGATCCAAATCAAAACCACAAGGGGGTACAAGTTCCCAATGAGAAATGTAAATGTATTGTATACCTAAAATGTACCAATAAAAGAATTTTTTTAAAAAAAAGAAAAGGAGAAACTAGAGACATTTATAGCTAAGCGGATGTACATTGAGGCCCTACTCTTAAGTGAAATAAATAGGACACACATGTGTTAAAAAAAAACCCAACAAAAAAACACAACAGGGGCCAGGGTTTTAGCTCAGCGGTTCTGTGTGACACCTGCCTTGTAAGCGCAAGGACCCGAGTTTGATCCTCGGTACAAAAAAGCCACAAAAACCACAATGGGACAACATCTAATGCCCATCAGCACAGCCACTCAGGGACAGGCTTTTGAGCCTTGATGAGGGTGTGGGAAGGGAGTCCAACACATTGTTGGTGCAGTCATTTGGAAAAACAGTTTCCCCCAAAAGTAGAACTCAGTCTACCAAAGGCCCCACAATCCCTTTGCTGGGTACGTGCTCAAGAAACAAAGTCAGCACCTCTTAGGGACATGTGCATTCCCGTGTTCATTCCAGTATGATTCAGAGTTGGAGATAAACTAGCATCTATCCACAGATTAATGGGTAAAAAAAAAATCATAGTATATATACATATATGTTATGCAACATATAATACAATACTGTCAAACCTTTCTAAAAGAAGGAGATATTGCCGGGCATGGTGATGCACACCTGGAATCCCAGCACTTAAGAGGCTGAGGCAGGAGGATCACTGCAAATTCGAGGCCAGTCTGGACTATACAGTGAGTTCAGACCAGCCTAAAATACATATTGAGACCTTGGGGGATAAAAGGCGGGGAGATACTGCAATTTGCCACATGGATGACCCTGGAGAGGACATTATGCTAAGTGAAATACGACAGACATAGAAAGGTAAATACTGCTGATTTCACTTTTATGTAGAATCTAATAAAAAGTCAAATATATTGAAACAGTCAAGGTAACCACCAGCAGACAGGAGAGTAAGGAAATGCAGATACGTAGGTCAAAGGATAGAACCTTGCCGTTATGTAGCATGAAAAAGTCTAGAGATCTAAGGACTGTAGTAAAAGACATTGTGTTTTATACTGAAAATTTGCTGAAAACAAGAGTAGTCATTTCACGATGTACATGAGAACATCATGTTGTACACCTTAAATAGATACAAAGCTAAACTTCAAGCCAGGCATGATGATACATACGTGGAATCCCATCACTCTGTAAGGCTGAGGCAGGAGGATGCAAGTTCCAGCCCAGCCTGGGCAATTTAGGGACTTAGACATGCCTCAAAATAAATATTTTTAGAAAGGGGGTTGGGAGACTATGGATATAGCTAAGTGCAAGGGCCCTGGGTTCAATCCCCGGACCACTAAATAAATAAACTTAAAATTGTTTGGCTTCAGTCATATATGTATACACATATGTGTGTATGATACACGTTCACACATGTATGCAAATGACATGTGCATTAATGTATATTGTACATGTTGCATGATACATTTATGTATGTGCATGTTGTGTGAATACATATAATGCATTCATGTATATTTTGTGTGTACATAAATATGCATATATATTGTGTGCATTTGTGTACATGTATGTGATGATATATTTATGTATATGATGTATATTTGTGTACATGTATGTTGTGTGATTTACATTTATGTATGAGAGATTTGTGTGTACATGTTTATGTATATGTATGGGTCTGATAGATTCTTTTCATTGTTTATTTTTATTGGTATATGTTGGTAGTATATAAGGCATAGGGAGATGGCACGTGTACATAACATTTTAATTCGATTCATGTATACGTGTCCTGTGTATATTGTTTTTATTTATGTGTATATATGGGTTTGTAGGGCAGATTTCTGTCAATGAATGTATATGAACATGAGATATGTACGTATACATTTAGGTATGAGATGTAAATTTATGTATGTGCATAAGCATGTGTGTATGTTACACGTATACCTGTGTGTATGAGATATACTATACATGAATGCGAGTGGGGTCTGATGTAATCTTGGGTACGTAGGTGCCCAAGCGATGTGTACTCACGCACGTATGGTGTGAGCATGCACCTGTGATGCGGACACCTGCATGCGTGTCGCGGGTATATGACATTCATGCGTGTTGGCCCGTGGTGCAAGCTGGCGTTCATGCTCGCCCCTACGCCCGCGCGCCAGGTGTGTCGGGGCCCCAGGTAGCCGTCCTCTTGTCTTCCATCAGACAGACGAGTCTAGCGTGGTCCGGGAGCAGCGAATTGCCCCCGGGACCGCGCACAGAGGACGCCCCGCCCCCCCAAGTCCCCTGCCAATTTGGCGGTGGCGCGCACGCTAACGGGGACGCACTTGCCGGCTGCTCGCGCTCGCCGGGACACCCGGGAGGAGCGCCGTACTGTCGATGGCGGGCGCACGCACGCTCGCGGGGGCCGCCGGGAGGAGCGCCGCGGCGTCGATGGCGGGCGGGGCGCGCACGCAACGCGGCGGCCGCCATCTTTGTGGCG